GATAGATAGATAGATAGATAGATAGATAGATAGATAGATGGATGGATAGATGAATAATAGATATAATCTCCCCAACTAGACTTTAAACCTCTTGAGAGAAAGGACTAGGTTTTCTTACTCTTTGGATATGCCTCTTTTCCCATCCTAGAGAATGACTCAATGTTTCCAGTGTCATAAACACTTAATATGTTCATTGTATGTTGTTGCTGAATTGATAAGATCACCAGTTGCTCACCAGAGTTATAGGACAGGATATGGAGCTCCCGCCCCTAACCATACTCAGGAAGTCCTTCTTGATCCATCATGATTATTTCCAGCTTCTTCTCCCACTTCCTCAATAACCAGGGAGACTCCCTCTGTGTCCCTTCTTTCTGTAGACATGCTCACCTGGTCTCGGGTGTAGGGTGTGTCCACTCTCTGCTTATCAGCACAGGCTTCTAGGAGTATGCGCATGGCGTTCAGCTGCAGGAGCATCTCACAGGCCATAGTGTCAAAGAAAGTGATGTTGGCAAGGGCTGCAGAAGCCAATAGGAAGACTTCACCAGATGAGGCCTCTTGGCACAGTTCTAGGGGTAGAGATAGAGCCTGGATTAGAGAGGGAGACATCACCCCCTCCAGGCTGATTCCAAAGAAGTCCCTCTAGTGCTGTGGGAGGAAGTACTTACAGGAGACTACAACTCAAACAGAACCAGCACATGGCCAGAAAGTCCCACGTCCAGGACTTGAAGGACCCTATCCGCCATTCTGCCTGGTATACCTCCCTCCATCTAGACACAAATCACCTGCTGTCACTTGCAGGCACTGGGCGGCCAGACTGGCTCATGCGATAGCATAAAAGAGGTTTCCTGGTTGAGGCAGGAATGACCTTTCTTTCAAGGTCTCCTTGTTGCTAGTATCTCATATCTGCTATCCTGTTTGCCATGTATTCTACCCTCTGCCTTATATCCATCTCCAAGGTCTATGTATCCTCTGGCTCCAGATCGCCTTTTGACTGTTGGTTTCTGACGTGGTTCCAACTTAAGCACAGCATTTCCAGAGACTCCTTGGGTTTAGCTCACCTGGAATAGTATATACTAATGGGGTCACAAAAGTAACAAATAAACATGTTCAAATAGAAGCAACTGAACAGGGTAGAAGCTACCACCATCTGTGCCTTGATGTCCCTAAATTCCCCAACATGGTTAGGGCTTTGGAGCCTCTTCTCCTCCATGATTCTTAATTTTTATTCTAAGGGTTAGTCCCTACTCTCCTCTTTGCTCCACTACCCCCAGGTCCACCATGATGGTGAGAATATTCTGGGCATTGTGGCACAAAGAAAAAAGACCTGAATTCTTTCTGTGTTTGCGTGTTTTTGGAGGTAATTGAGGGTAAGTGACTTGCCCAGGGTCACACAGCTAGTAAGTATCTGAGGTTGAATTTGAACTCAGGTCCTCCTGACTTCAGGGCTGGTGCTTTATCCACCGCACCACTTAGCTACTCCAAGACCTGAATTCTGGTGTTAGATCTGCCATCAAATACCTCAGTGACCTTGAACAGGTTTCCCCCCCTCCCTCTGTGTGATTCAGTTTCCCCATTTGTAAAGGAAGGATTTGATCCAGATGGTTTCTAAGGGCTCTTCCAGCCCTGACATTCTCTGGGTTATCCTGATGCAGGAGTCCAGAGCTGGGCAAACTCTCCCTTAGTGACCATCCTGTTCCACTGCCCAGAGAAATCAAGAGTTTAGCCACCTCCGTTTGGCATGGAGGACGAGAGCTATGTGTCCACCCCCATGCTCTATGACAACCGCTTCTTCATGCTTGGCAAACCCATCCCCGCTCCCTTGACAACCTGACTGCTGCCGACGCAGCAATTATTAACACAGCCATATAAGTGCCTTTTAATTTTGGCCCTCGTTTATTTTAACTATGATCTGAGTCATTGAGCCATTTAATTTCACTGTGTGTTAAGAAGATTAAATACAGCAATCTGATGACTCACTTATAAATGTTTCAAAAGAAGAACAGAAAGAAAGAAAGAATGGAAAGAAATAAAGAGAGAGAAAAGGAAGAAAGAAAGAAAGAAAGAAAGAAAGAAAGAAAGAAAGAAAGAAAGAAAGAAAGAAAGAAAGAAAGAAAGAAAAAAAAGACTTGCACGCTCAACTTCTCCTGACTTTTTTTACTTCTTCCCCATCTCCCTGGTGCCCAGCTCCCCCAAGAAATATCCTGTCTACTGGGGTAGAATGCGTAATGCTGGTCTCTCAGGGGAGTTTCTGTCAAGAAGTCGGGGCTGGACAGACCCTGGGGACCAGGGGAGGGAAATGCAGGGAAAGGGTGACAGAGGAATGGGTAGACAAGTAGACCCATGTCTTGACCCAAGCATTTTTTCAACCTTGAACAAATGAGGAAGACTCCCATTTATTACCACCCAGGCCTGGTCTGTAAGAACCATAGCCTGTAGCAAAAGGAATCACTCAGACTAGTCTTAATCCTTCCCAGTTTCCTCAAGTCCATCAAATTCCAAGTCCTAGTTCAGTGACTCCCAATTTCTGAAGGGATATCTCAAAATTCTCTAAAATTATGATATACACATATATAAATTATATATGCACATATGTATATATATTTATATTATATTATATATGATATACACTTAGTGAAATACAAACTGGACTTATGATTTTATTGGCATTAGGAACTCTCAGATGAGGAAAAGCAGGTTGGCACCATTTTCACCTGGCAATTTATGGTCTTAGAGAGGTGGTGAGACCCCAGAGAGGTTAAGAGATTTACACAGAGTCACACAGCCAGGATATATCCTAAGCAGAATCTGAACTGAGGTCTCCCTAGCTTCCAGGCCTGCTCTTTACCTATTACCTCTTCATGTACATGTATGCATACATATACCTCACACGTCATTTTTGGGAGGCCAGGAGGGAGGAGAACTGGGGACAGGTGGCCAGACAGAGTAGAGATTGCCCAGAATTAGGAGGTAGAGAGCATGGATTTAAAGTCTAACCTTATATAAGATAGACTTCATGGGACAGAGGAAAGGGCTCCGGATTTGAGATTAGAGGGCATGGGGTTTGAATCCTGGATCTGCCACTTACTTATTGGGCTTACCTGAGGCATTGCCATCTGCTTTGTCGATGCATCCTAAAGACCATGAGACTTTTCCATCTGAACTAAAGGGGAAATTTTCCATACGTGTTGACTCCTTCTTTAGAAGGTAAGCTCCTTGAGGAGAAGGCCTTTCTTCCTTTTCTATTTGTATCCCTGGAGCTTAGCACCAGTGCTTTGTATATAATATCTACTAAATGCTTTATTCACCCATCCAACCATCCATTCATTCCTAGACTGACCTAACCTTTCTAGATCTCAGTTTCCTTATATAGAAAATGAGAGGTTTAGGTTAGATGCCTCTAAGGTCCTTTCTGGTCCCAAACCTATGGTCCTATGATTATTCCTAAGATATTTCCCCTCTCAGGGCCTTGGTTTCCTCAAGTATAAAATGAGGGTTTACACTAGACATCTCCAAAGTTCTTCTACCTCTAGGACCTATGAGTCCTCTCTAGCAAAGCTGAGATGCAGGCTTTAGTCCTGGCTTTGCCACTAACTTCATGTGTGACCTTGGTCAAGTCTCAGTCCTCCTTAGTGCTCAGTTTGAATGAGACAGTTCAAAATCCCTTCTGACTCTGACAGCTATATTCTGTTACTATGAAGTTGGAATCTTGACGATAAATAGACTTTGAGACCAAAAGAGACAACTATCTAACAGTGGGATGACAGGCTATAAGAGAGATGTTTGGAATCACCAAGGCCCTCCTAGTATCTCTTAAATAATATGACATGGTTGATCTCCTACACAGTCTCTCCATAAGACTGATCCTGAGGCTCCTCTGGCCCCCATTCCCGCTGATTCTCCCTGACATCAAACCGTGGTCACTCACTGATGAGAGCTGTCACAATCTCCTCCATGCTCTCCAGGAAGCTGCTGAGATGCTGGGTCACAGGCAGGTGCGGAGAGGTGATCTGGGCAACCACAGCAGCAGCCTCTGCTCGGGTGGCTTCTGAGTGGCTACTATCGGTCAAGATGTCAGCCAAACACAGAATGCCATCTACCTGGAGATGACAGAAGGTGTAGAAGTTCCACTGTGAAATTGGGCCTTAGAATATGGTGCTCTCCTTACCTTCCTCTCCCCACCCCTACCCCCCAGCAGAAGCAACTTGACAAGAGAGAATGTGTACCTTGGACAGAGGCATCAGCCCATCCCCAGACACAGCACTGGATTTTGAGTCAGAAGACCTCGGTTCCAGTCCTAAATCGCACACTTATTAAGTCACCTTGCACAGTCACCTTACCTTTCTGAGAGTTCCTTGGGATGTGGCTTCCAACCTCACCACATAACTGAAACTGCTAACTCCCAGGTTACCCATGATCTCTCTTTATAGCTAAATCCCATGGTCTTTGTTCAATCCTTATCCTCCTTCACCTCTCTGAAGTTTTTGGTATCACTGATCGACCCCTTTCCCTGGATATTCTCTCCTTCTTTGGATTCTGTGATGCTCCAATTTCCTGATTTTCTTCCTATCTGACTGATCCTTCTCACATTCCTTTGCTAGTTCTCTCTCTCTCTCTCTCTCTCTCTCTCTCTCACACACACACACACACACACACACACACACACACACACACACAGCTTTGTCCTAGACCTTCTTCCCTCTATAATCTCTATTCTCTCTCATTAACTTTATCCACTCCTATGTGTTCAATTAGCATTTATATGCAGATTACTCATAAATATATGTAGCCTCTCTCCTGACCTTCATTTTTTATCCCTAACTGCCTGCTGGACACTTCCACTTAGATATGCCCTTGGCATCTAAAAGTCAAGATATCCAAAACAGAACTTCTCTTCCCCATTAACTCTGCTGCCTTCAGATTTCTCTGTGTGTGTTGAGGACACCATCATCTTCCAGTTACCTGGGTTTATAACTTCAGGGTTATCCTTAACTCTTCTTTCTCTTTCCCCCAACCCCTCATATCCAAGTCTTATCAATTCTATCTCCACAATGTTTCCTGCATCTATCCCCTTTTCCACCCTCACATGACTTACTACCAATCTAGTTCATCAACACCTGCTTTATTGCAATAACCTCCTGGTCAGTATCCTTGCTTCAGCCTCTCCCCTTTTCAATCCCTAATCAATCTTCCACACAGCTAATAAAACAATGTGCCTAAAGCATAGGTCTGACCACATGTCACCTGAGATTCGAATCTTGGCTCTGACATTTCCAAGCAGAACATGACCTTGGGAAAATCCGTTTTCCCTCTGCATTTCCTCTACTCCGTAAAATTGGGGGGAGGTGTAGAGTAAATGCCATTTAAGGTCCTCCTTAGCTATAAATCCTGAGATGCTATAGGAATCAATGGTTCCCCAATCCCTGTATCAAACGTTTTGATTCCTCTAAGAGGCACTCCTTGTGTGGTAGAGAGAAGGTCAAAGCTGCAAAAGGGTCCTTGTGTTCCTAATCCAACATGACCTTGACCAAGCCCTTTCCCTCCTCTGAGTGTCAACTTCCTCCTCTAAAATGAGTAGGTTGTATTAGATCACGTTAGACATCGTCAGGCACTAGAGAATCAGTGAGATGTGATAGCAAGGGTGACGAATTTGGAATCAAAGGACCTGGGTTTAAATCTCTGCTCTTCCACTTAGTCTCTGCATGACTTTGGGCAAATCACTTGACCTCTCAGGGATGGTTTCCTCCTCTGTAAAAGGAAGGAATGACCTCAGTGGTTTCTAAGGTCACTTCCTGCTCTGACTCTACGACCCTGTAATCCTATGATGATAGCTAATCCAACTTCTCATTTAGCAGACCCTCGGAGAATTGGTGGTCCCTAAAGCTCCCTTCCAGATCTCAATCCAATGAACCTGTGATCTGTCAGTGACTCAGTACTCGGCAAACACTTGTTAAGTGCCTATTATGAGACAGGAATTGTGCTAAAGGCTGAGGATACAAAGAAAGACAAAAGTCTCTTTTTTCAGTAGCTCATCATCAAATCTGAAGATTCAAAAGTTTCAGAGTTAAGTTTATGTGATCATAAAGAAGTATTGTTGGGTTTTTTTCCATCTATTCCCAACGTCATTTGCAATAGAGGAAAAGGTAGAAAGGCTAGCTAAGGAACCCCAGCAAAGTAAAGCGTGGGGGGGAAGCATGGCCAGAGAGGCTGCCTTCTACCTCCAGTAGACCTGGGGTTGAAGGAAACCTTTCCCAAACTGACCTGGCTGGGAATAGTTGGTCTCCATTCCCACCTCAAGATCATCCCTTGCCCACATGAGCGTGATGCTATAAGATCAGTATCACGCAAGGAAAAGAGCAGTGATTTCGGAAACACTACCTGTGTGACCTTGGATGAGTCACAGCCTCCCTAGAACTCACTTTCCTCATATATAAATGTGAGGGTGATTTGAGAGTCTCTAAGTTTGCTACTAGCTTTAAATTCTCTGCTCACAGGCATCCTGACCCCTTCTCCATGGGGTCTTTTTTTCCTGCTTTATTAGAGTTATCTCTGCCCATTCCAGCATGGGAGCCAGGTGGGCGCTGATGGGGAACTGGTTGCGGGGCCACGTCTGACCCTGACATTCCATGGCAGCCCCTCCCCATCTTCATTTCCTGCCAGTCATCCTCAAGTGGCTCTTTAAAAGCTCCCACTGTTATTTATTAGAGTAGGGTTTCATGTCACCTCCGTTAATGTTCCAGGATGGATGTAAATTTTCTTGTTTGGTGAAGTGTTTGACAATGAGGGAATCAGAGAGACAGGCGAGACCGTCAGACCCTGGGGAGGCCAAAGGACGCCGCCTGGCATGAATCACGCTGATGGCTTCTTTGAGAAAGGACGTAAATGCCGCGCTGGGTCCCTGCACACTCTCAGGGCGGATGGCAGTATCACATGGGTGGCCTCTCATTTGCTCAGATCTCAGGTGGAGGGACGAAGAGACAGTCTGTGCCCGGCAACAGGAAACAAACTGGCTGAGAGCTTTGCGAGCCTTTCCAAATGAGCCGTCCCTGTTCCCTCCCGCCGAGTTCCACCTGCTCAGGGTCATGGGCTTAGACCCAGAAGGGGTTCTCGGGGTCACCTAGTCCAGTCCCCTCAGATGAGGAAACTGAGGCCCAGAGAGGTCATAATGGAGTTGGAGGGC